GGCTTGACACGCAGTAATCCGTGTCACCTGAGTGAACTAGACCTGGCCCGTTAACTGGACCCAGTTTATTGCGTGGTCAAGCTGTCCGCTCTCATACTGAGTTGTACTGAAGGTCAACTCGTTCAAACGTGATGATTCACTATCATCCTTCCTCTGACACCCGTACTACCAAAATTAGAACTATTCGACTGCTGCTGAATATGGGGACTTATGGGAGTGTCTTGAGCGCTGTGATGTTGATTCTTAATTCAACACTCAACTTGCAAAGTAAGAGAAATAAATGTTATGTTAATGATTACTCACATTTCCATTTTTGTTGTCAACTGGGCTCATTGCAATGTTGCCCTTTGATTTCCTCTTCTTACGTTCACTGTGGCATTCCCGACGTTTCTTCTGGATGGTAAGTAATAGAGAAATAAATTGATTCTTCAGCTCCTTGTCAAACTCCAGTTCATCCCGCAGAGCCAGCTCTGAGACAAGCATTTCAGACAGCATCTTCGTGGTGGTATCGTACTCTGCTACTAGCTCATGCAAAGCAGCTTGTGGCATTTCTTTCAAATCTGAAATAATCAAATCAGCACCAGTTACACTACAGCAGTATTCTTCAAACTTTTAACACCTGAGGACATGGAAAATAGAAGAAATATATTTGGGACCAGCTGACGGTTAAGGCAGAAGCAAATTCAAATGTAGATAGTAAGTAAAGTAAAGGACCCTTTTCCACACCTTTAGGCATATAGGGCTAGACCTATATTTTATAGACCAACAGCACAAGACAGGTGATGTGGTCAGCATCACGCCGGCCGCCTCTACTTCCCGAGACTGAACCTGGTACCCACTCAAGGCTAGGTCGACCTGGGAGCCAAGGTCATTTTTGAAGAAAAGTCCAGCTCCACCAGGGAGCGAACCCACGACCTTTCGATCCACGGCACGAGTCTAGCTGCTCTGCCACGGCGACCTCCAAATGTAGATAGCCTTTTATTTATTAAATGCAATGTTATAAAATTGAATTTGTTTTAGCTTATGTGACATCAGCTGCTCAGAGGTTAAACAATCTGATATTCAGGGTCACCAAGAATGACTTCCATTATTTTTAAATTATTATAAAAGAAATATTAGTAAACAGAAATTTATTATGGAAAGTTCTTGAAAACTACGGTATAAATGGAACAATTTTAGATTGTGTTAGGGCTATTTATAGACAAAGTGAAAGCGCCATTAGAACAAGAGCTGGCATCACAGACTGGTTCCCAGTAACATCAGGAGTAAGACAAGGTTGTGTATTATCACCTTTACTTTTCATAATATTTATGGACAATATTAATAAAATAGACAAAACACCAACAGATGTCGATAAACAGGAGGACTTCAATGAGCTGCTCTTTGCCAACGATCAATGCATATTTCACAGTGATAGTAAACAGCTGCAAGACCACATGAACCTACTACACGACAGTTGCCTCAAGCATCATATGAAGATCAATACTGAAAAGACAGAAGTCATGAGCATAAGTAGAGAGCAACAGACCATCGACATAAAGATTCTAGATCACAGCCTAAAACAAGTGCAAGAATTTAAATACCTGGGAAGTATCTTTACATCCAATGGTAAAATAGACAGAGAGATTGAAGCAAGAATCCAACAAGCCAACAATGTCACATACCAGCTTGCCCCAATTTTAAAACACCCTACTGTCCCAGCTGAGATAAAAAGACAAATTATAAATACAATCTTTATACCGACATTAGGTTATCAATGTCAGACTTGGACATTAACAAAAGAACATGAGAGAAGACTAACCACCTGTGAAATGAGATGTTTGAGAATGGCTGCGAATAAAACCAGAAGAGATCGAGTGAGAAACGATGTGATTACAAGAACTATTGGAACCATACCCATCGTTAAATTTATTGAGAAGCAAAGAATGAAATGGTTTGGTCACCTAATGAGAATGGAACCAACGATGCCAGCATCAAGAGCATACAACTGAAAATCGAAACAACAAGAGGCAGGGGAAGACCAAGAAGAAGATGGATTGAAGGAGTCACGGACAACTTGAGACTTCGTAACATCACGGTATATGAAGCGACTGAGCGCGCCCTGGCTCGGTTGCCGATCATCTGATAGACTGCGACGCCTAGCGGCACAAGCAGATTTTGACAAAAGAAAGAAAGATAAAAGAAATATTTAATGGACACGTGTGTGTGGCCTCTTCAAATGGTCAGAAAAGTTTAGTTTCACATGACCTTGTGGCTCAAAGGGGCGCTGAGAAGATTAGAAGCCTCCAGAACCTTTAAGACTCTGGAAGCAATATAGAAGATGTGGCAGGAGATGGAATACTGACTAGACGTCACCAGAGCTACAATTGGCACTCATATCGAAGGGTACTTTTCTGAATAAACTAAGATGTCTCACGTGATTATCCATTAAATGCTTCTTTTATAACAACAGTTTAAAATCCTGGCGATTATTCTCGATGATCTTGTATAAGACTAGAGCCTTGTTTCTGAGAAATGAAGCAACAGCCATTAGATATCCACTGTAGCTGATAAATTATGAGGAAATTTCTGAAGACTGGTCCTGGTAACACAGACTGAAGAACATGGAGGACCTTCTTCCTCTGCCTTTTATTTCAGCGACATCCTACCATCTCATGTAGCTAATTCTGTGTCGTTCTTTTTACATTTCTGTCTTTAATAATTTGTTTATATTTATTTTTAGCTCTCCTCTCTGTCTCAGTTTCTCTGGGGCATCTGTGCAAGAACATTTTAGTTAATATAATTTTTTTGTACACAATGTGTGGCCTGTGTTCAGTGCCAGTAAGAGTTTCACCTCACTTTCTGAGTCACTGGAATTTACTCAGTTCTCAACATTAGCTCCACAAAAGTGATTATGTCATACCATTTGAGGCTAAATTTCTATAATCGACTTCGGCTCCAGGTGAATCCAGACAAATAAGGGTACCAGAAATGTCAAGAGAAGTACAGGTGACTGACATGATGTTTGAAGGTGACTGACATGATGTTTAAAGGTGACTGACATGATGTTTAAAGGTGACTGACATGATGTTTAAAGGTGACTGACATGGTGTTTGAAGGTGACTGACATGATGTTTGAAGGTGACTGACATGATGTTTAAAGGTGACTGACATGATGTTTGAAGGTGACTGACATGATGTTTGAAGGTGACTGACATGATGTTTAAAGGCGACTGACATGATGTTTAAAGGTGACTGACATGATATTTGAAGGTGACTGACATGATGTTTGAAGGTGACTGACATGATGTTTAAAGGTGACTGACATGGTGTTTGAAGGTGACTGACATGATATTTGAAGGTGACTGACATGATGTTTGAAGGTGACTGACATGATGTTTGAAGGTGACTGACATGATGTTTGAAGGTGACTGACATGATGTTTGAAGGTGACTGACATGATGTTTAAAGGCGACTGACATGATGTTTAAAGGTGACTGACATGATGTTTAAAGGTGACTGACATGGTGTTTGAAGGTGACTGACATATTTGAAGATGACTGACATGATGTTTGAAGGTGACTGACATGATGTTTAAAGGTGACTGACATGATGTTTAAAGGTGACTGACATGGTGTTTGAAGGTGACTGACATGATGTTTGAAGGTGACTGACATGATGTTTGAAGGTGACTGACATGATGTTTGAAGGTGACTGACATGATGTTTAAAGGTGACTGACATGATGTTTAAAGGTGACTGACATGATGTTTAAAGGTGACTGACATGGTGTTTAAAGGTGACTGACATATTTGAAGGTGACTGACATGATGTTTGAAGGTGACTGACATGATGTTTGCAGGTGACTGACATGATGTTTGAAGGTGACTGACATGATGTTTGAAGGTGACTGACATGATGTTTGAAGGTGACTGACATGATGTTTAAAGGTGACTGAAATGATGTTTAAAGGTGACTGACATGATGTTTAAAGGTGACTGACATGGTGTTTGAAGGTGACTGACATGATGTTTAAAGGTGACTGACATGATGTTTAAAGGTGACTGACATGATGTTTAAAGGTGACTGACATGATGTTTAAAGGTGACTGACATGATGTTTAAAGGTGACTGACATGATGTTTAAAGGTGACTGACATGATGTTTAAAGGTGACTGACATGATGTTTAAAGGTGACTGACATGGTGTTTGAAGGTGACTGACATGATGTTTGAAGGTGACTGACATGATGTTTGAAGGTGACTGACATGATGTTTAAAGGTGACTGACATGATGTTTAAAGGTGACTGACATGATGTTTAAAGGTGACTGACATGATGTTAACCAATTTCACCCCATTAATGCCTATTAGTCAATAAAAAGACTTCCTCACCATAATCCTCAGCGAGCTGCTGTGGTGTAGTGGCTAGTTGCTCGCCTGTGGGTCCGAAAATTGTGGGCCCAGGTCCTGATGGAGTCTGACTTTTAAAAAAAAAATGACCTTTGCTCTCAGGTTGCCCAGCCTTAAACAGGTACCAGGTAAAGTCCTGGGAAGTAAAGGCAGCCGACATGATGTTGACCATATCACCCATTGAGTGCCGATTGGTCTAATAAATATGTCTAGCCCTATGTGCCCCATATTTGCCTAAAGGAATGGGAGAGGACCTTTACTTTTTACCATATGCCTGATACACCACCGGTGTAAAAAAAAATTCCTTTACCTACTTTGCATACTATTATTCTTTTGATTCTGTGCAGCCATTAGTAAAACGTTCAAAGAGGGCTGTCTTTTTTTTTTCTCTCTATAATATATATTCTTGTTGTTCTGGCTTCCTGAAATATCCTGTTTTCAGCTCAAAATATTAGTGGGATGTCCCTTTTTTCAGCACAAGATATGTGGGATGTCCCGCTTTTAACTCAGGAGGTTATGGTTACCTACCAACCAAATTAGTTTTTAAAAAAATGTACAAGTAGCATCAGAGAAAAGCTCACCACCAAGAGTGTAGGCTGACAGTGAAGCCAGGGTTTTCTTCACTTTGGTGTAAGCCACGTCTTCGGGAGTATCCTGCATGGCACTGTAGTAGTCCTCTGCAGAAGGTTCCTGTGAAGAATTAAGGACAATGTTTAGAGTAAAGTAAAGGACCCTTTTCATGACACCAGATTTGTGAAGTTAGACCTATCATTTTTTTTTAAAAACACATGGGTGAGGAGTACTGTCTGGATTTTTTTACCAGGGAATGCCAGTGTGTTGGGAAATGAACAGGCGGACAGACTGGCTTGCTTGCACAGCTTGGTAGAATACTGATGCACGATAAGGCAGATGTGGTTAGTGTCTTGTGTGAGGGCTTGTACAGTTCGGAGGAGCAGAATGATCACCACAGTGTGGTGAGATTGATGCCGTTGGGAGTGACAAGAGGTTCTGGCAGATGCTCGAGGCTCAGAGGAAAGGCAAGACGGACGTTTAATCAGAATGCTACTGGCAATATTAGTATCGGAACTATTCACCGGTTGCTGAAGATGGGGACGGAGCGCTAATGGGAATGCCCCGAGTGCTGTGATGTCGGTTCTTGAATCAAATCAAATCATTTTTTAAAAACCAGCTGGTCATCTTAAATGACCAGGGTAATTCCTGATATCAATTTCAGGTTTGGTTGACCTAGTAAATAAAAAGTAAAGATTCCTTTTCAAACCTTTAAGCACATCAGGCATATAAGAAGAGTACCCATATTTTTACGGACCAATCGGCACTAGGCGAGTAATGTGGTCAGCATTATGCCGGCCGTCTTTACTTCCCCAGGACATACATCCTAGTACCCATTTTAGGCTGGGTCGACCTGCAACGCCCCACTTTTGCTCATCAATTTTAATTAAGGGAAAAGTTATTGGTGTTATGATCACAGAAACTGAAGTTATGAGTTGGCTTATCTTCACAGCACTTTGGACAAGTCTATAGGTGCTCAGATTTCCCCTTCAACATACACATGAGCATCCTGCTTTAAATGTTCCCGTCTTATGCTGGGTTGGTGCAATGAGTATATGACAGGTTTAGTCAACTTGTGAACCAAGGTCAATAATGAAATAATTTGCCTTGATGTGTATCTAAACCCAAGACCTTTGGCGTAGCTTTCAAGCATCTAGCCACTACCCTACTGTGGCTTCCTCTAGTGGTTAGTGTCAGCTAACAAAACCCTCTGATATGTTTCTGACATGAAGTTTTACGTAGCATGTAAAGAGCTAGGCTGTTAACTGAAGCGTAATCACAGTTAGGGTTTGGGATGTCGAATAGGTCAAGGTATGAGAATCAAATAAAGGGAGACACAAACTTGCCGTCTTATATAGACAGATTGGGGATAGTCAAAGGGTAAGGAACGCCCAAAAAACACCCCCCTCCCCCACCCTCCAAAAAAAAAACATTGGAAAAAAAGATCTTGGAACAAGACCAAAGTCTAAAGTGGATGAACAACAATGTCTTTTTTTCATAGCTAACAAACGTGAATATCATGTGAACACAAACATGAAATTTTTGTTGTTGAAATAAACAGACTACTCGACCCAAGTCTAAAAGTGGAGGATCAACCAAGACATTGTGCTGGAGTTTACAGTTGGTGAAACCAAGGAAGAAGTTAAGTTGTTGAGAAAAATCCACATGGCTCTGACTGCTTGTTATGTACCTGATCCCTCCTTGCAGCAGGTCTTCGATCATGATTCAAATACACCAGGTTTGACATATTTTGGATAGTGCATATGCCAGTTTGCAGACACACATTTCACACATACCAGTTGACTTAGTTTAACATACACATTTCATATATATCAGGACAGATCTCTGTAGTGAAGTGGTCAAGCCATCTGCCTCATGCTATGAAGGTCCTGGGTTCATTTCACAGATGCAGTATTGAGCTTCTTTTTCTTTTTTCTTTTCTGTCTCCCTGCCAGTGGTTTACAGATGATCTTCTTCTTCTTCTTCTTCTTTTCTGTGTTCCGGTTTACATTGACAGATATGTTCTTGTGATGACTGTGTGATGGGGTCCTATTGAAGCAATGATGCACAATTCAAGACTTCATGTCTATCAGCCTCTCTTGCTCTAGCCTAGCATTTTACATGTTAGTCCCTGTTCTTCCCAGCAATCCAGCGGAAGGTTGGTGTCTCAACCCCCAGCGGGAAACTGGATGGGACAACAAACAAGGTAAAGGCAAGTGATCAATAGATCCCAAAGTCGGAAATATCGGGCCAGAAGGCAAATCAAAAGCCACAGTGCTATGCCACCCCCCCCCCCCCCCCCGTCAACAGATACACACACACACATATATATATGTGTATATATGTGTGTGTGTGAATATATATATATATGATTTACAGTTGAGAAGGCCACAGGACTCTGTGAAGCCTGTGATGTGACACATGTCTTCCACTGTTCCACACAGCTCGGTTTCCACTGGAATGCCAATCCACCAAACCTGGGATCTCTCTGCTAGCATTCAGTCAGCTCACAAGTGCAGTTTTTAGAAAGATTCCTGGGGATAGTTGCTGGGGTTACAGAATTTGTGCTTTGTGCCAAACATTTGGCAGACAACAAGCCGCTCTACTCAGACAGATGGGATAACCCAGTGCATTGAAGTCGACCCTTTTAACTTTTTTATGAATATGTCTCCCATGTGGGTGGATACCAGGTCGTGTGTGTGTGTGGTTGGGGGGGGGGGGGGACTGCCTCTTAATGAGCATTTTGTAAAAGGCGACCAATTAGGGGTGTTTCATTCAAAGTCAGAGTGCATCTGCCTCAGAGGCCAGGAACCAACAGTCTACTTACAAAATAAGCTCAATCTGTAAAAGGGATATGCAAACAAAATTCAAGTTTTGGAATAAAACTGAAGTAAAGAAGTGGACAAATTCCCAGAACTTTCCGTCTGCGGTTTCCAGTGAACGTGGAAAAAAAAAGATTAAGAAGAGGAAGGCAACAGTACAGAACATACTGAAGATGCAAAGATTTCCCAATGACCATGATGACTGAAGATTTGTTTAAATAGTTACACCTTGCAACTTATCAAGGAAGAAGACTAACAAACAAACTACCCCCTTGTTTAATCATACAAACATATTTAGAGACAACTATTCGATCATACAGTACACACAGAAAAACTATACAATCAAACACATAGAAAACGATGGGATAATACACATTATTTTTTAAAAACCGCGATCAAACAACTATGCTATCATACACATAGAATACGATCATATGTATAGAAAACTATAAGATCATACAAATAAAAAAACCGATTTGATTATGCATATAGAATATGTACACACAGAAAACTATATGATCATATGCGATTAAATAGTACATTAAAAAAAACTATGAGATCATACAGACAGAAAATCTATACCATCTTATACACAGAAAACTAAACAATTACCCACAGAAACAAGCCAATTACCTGGACACAAAAACAAATGCTTGATGTTACAGGTCTGCAGTCTATCTAGACCTTAACTTACTGGCAATAGGAGCAAGAGAATTCGCTATATTGAGGACAAGGAAACAATGGTACCGCAGATGATAACATGACCAGGCTGAGATGCCAAAGCTGGCAACCCGATGCCAAGCTTATCAAACGCCCGTGTCTAAGCATCTGCTAGCGCGTGTGACTGTCGACTGCAGCGAGATAAGTTCCCCTAGCCATGTAGGAGAATTTACGCTAATTGTTTGTGCCTTGCATTATACATGACCCGCCCCTTCTCTCCGCGACTGTAACCTCGTAGTAGATAGAGCCAAGTCGATCTGCTGATATTCTAGTGTTCTGTGTATTAACCGTGTGTCCGTAGAGATCATGGCGTCTGAATACCCTGTACAGCGATGGTCTCTAGCAGGGTGGGGGGGGGGGGGGGGGGCGCAAAACGGACTCCCTTCCCTGTAAAGCCATGGTCTCTAGCGGGGGGGGGGGGGGGGCAATCGGACTCCCTCCCCTGTACAGCCATGGTCTCTGGGGGGGGGGGGGGGGCAAACTGACTCCCTCCCCTGTACAACGATGGTCTATAGCCGGGGGGGGGGGGGTAGGTAGTGGTGGGGTTAGGGAGCAAACGGACTGCCTTCCCTGTACAACGATGGTCTCTAGCCGGGGGGGGGGGGGGGGGGGGACGGACTGAGAAAAGTTTCGTGAGGAAAGGCCTGAGGAAAGTTTCTGGGGGGTTGGGGAGGGGCGTCCAGAAATTTTGAAACTGTATGCATCTGTAATGGTGGTAATAATCCGGATTTTCAGCTGTAGCGGTCATGAAAACAAAACAGTGCTGCCAGCTTGATGTGGGAAGTGATCTTCGTTGTGCCTTGTCCAACATCCGATCAAAAATAGCAGATATCATCAAGACACAACACTGTCAACCCTCGCACTGATGTTGCGGCGCTAAATTACCGGTTGTTTCTGTTGTTACTTGAAGCATGTGCGTGTTTCTCTCAATGTTCTTGTTAACACTACTTGGGATTTTCTTTGAGTTCTCCATCATTTTGTTATGTTGGTGGGAGAAAAAAAAAGAGGGGTGAGGGTCTTGCCATATAATCAAGAAGTGGGAGTGGAGGGTCTTGCCATATAATCAAGAAGTGGGAGTTGAGGGTCTTGCCATATAATCAAGAAGTGGGAGTGGAGGGTCTTGCCATATAATCAAGAAGTGGGAGTGGAGGGTCTTGCCATATAATCAAGAAGTGGGAGTGGAGGGTCTTGCCATATAAAGGAGTGGGAGTGAAGGGTCTTGCCATTTAATCAAGAAGTGGGAATGAAGGGTCTTGCCATTTAATCAAGGAGTGGGAGTGAAGGGTCTTGCCATTTAATCAAGAAGTGGGAGTGGAGGGTCTTGCCATATAATCAAGGAGTGGGAGTGAAGGGTCTTGCCATATAATCAAGGAGTGGGAGTGAAGGGTCTTGCCATATAATCAAGAAGTGGGAGTGGAGGGTCTAGCTATATAATCAAGTAGTGGGGGAGTAAAGGGTCTTGCCATATAATCAAGGAGTGGGAGTGAAGGGTCTTGTCATTTAATCAAGAAGTGGGAGTGGAGGGTCTAGCTATATAATCAAGTAGTGGGGAGTAAAGGTTCTTGTCATATAATTAGG